TCGGAGCTATATCAATGCCAGAATATTGCTTGTGGTTAGAATAATAAGGGCAATTATATATTGTACACAACACACACGCACGCACGCACACACACACAAACGCACACACGCACTTACATACACATATACACATGCAAACATATATACATATATATGCATGTGTATATAAACACACTTAAATACAAGTATATGTTTATTTGCATAATAAAAGTAAATTTTGTGGATATATATATGTATATCTAGAAGTTTTTGAAGAAGTATTAAATAAATGAACAAATAGGATTTTCAATTTAATTAATAAATAATAAAAATCATAAATAATTAATACATTTCTAGTTATAAATAACAAAGAGAGAAAGAGAGAAAGAGAAAAAGAGAGAGAGAAAGAGAAAAAGAGAGAGAGAAAGAGAAAGGTAGCAACAAAAGGTATTTGCATATACTAAAATAAGTTTAATTAAAACCAAAATAGTTTTTTTCTAAAAATTTTGAAAATGTATACTTCTGACGTAATGAATGACGTCATCGTCGTCGCCGCTCTCAACTTTTTATGCTCCTCTACATGCCTGGCTCAAGAAAGTTAGGATAATAGTCGTCAATAATTTTTTATCAATTTTAAGTTTTTATTTCAATTTTATACTATTTATTTTAGGCCTAATTTTTAAAAATATTTTTATTTTATAATTTATGTAATGAATGAATTGCACAAGAATATTATTAATTTCATTCTTATTTTTATAATTAATTTTAGCATTGGTAGCAGTAGCAGCAGCAGTACTTGTAGTAGTAGTAGTAGGAGTAGGAGTAGTAGTAGTTGTAGTAGTAGTAGTAGTAGCAGTAGTAAAAGTAGTATTAGCAAAGGAAAGTTTTAATATCTGGTGCACGGTCAAACAGCTTGCTTGCTACTCAGGCATTCCTGGGGAGCTAAAATGAAAATTTCATTCTATATTCTCAAATATTTTCTACGCTCTAAAAATTATTTTTTTGACAAAATAAAAATATTATTATTAATAATATAATACTTTTAAATTTTATGAAAGAAAATTTTTATTAAAACGAAACAATTTTATTGACGTGACCGATCCAAGGAGCCAAAAGTTGTACGTTCTCTTGACTGGCTGATACTTTAGTTCAATTACAGCAATAAATAAAAACTGTTAATATATATTTTTTCACCTATCCTCTATTTCTCACTCTTTTTTACTTCATTCTTTCTTTCTCTCTCTCTCTATCCTGTGTTTTTCCTTCTTTATAACCGTCTTCCTCCATCTTTTTATTTTTCATAATTCATCTTTTATAACCTCTTCCGTTTTTCTTCTGACTATTTCTCTGTTTCTCTCTCTCTCCCTCTCCCTCTCCCTCTCTCTCTCTCTTTTTCTCTCTCTCCCTCTTTCATTCTCTCAGTTTCTTGTCTTCTTTCTATCGCTTTTTTAGTTTTTTTTCTCATTCACCTCCTTTCTTTCTTTCTCTCCGTTTTTCCTCCGTAGGTGTTGACGTAAACGAGGGAGTGAGTGTGGCCGTTGACGCCCTGACCTCCATCCTGATGACCTACAGCATCCTTGTCGTCTTCATCATGCTCATCAATGAGAGGAGGAGGAAAAAGTTTGGTGGAGGGTGGTGATGACGAGGGGGTAGATGACGATGGCGGCTGGAATGAAAAGGAAGAAGATGACGGTGAAGAAGAAGAAGAAGATGATGATGATGATGACGATGATGATGATGACGATGATGATGACAGTAGTGGTGAGGAGAAAGAGGAAGAAGATGAGGAGGAAGTAGAAGATAAGGAGGAAGTAGAAGATGAGGAGGAAGGAGAAGAAGATTAAAATGCTGATGATGTGAAAAAAGGAGATGATGGTTGGGATGTTGGGATGAGAGTGACGATGATAAAAATTGAGACGATGGTGATGATGAGTAAAACGATGAAGAAGCTTGTAATACTACTGATAGTAATTCATTAACTTCAGTGTTAACTGTATATTTTAAACATTACAATATATATGCGTAGACTTAAGTGATTTTTATTCATTTATTATTGAGTTATTGTTATAATGAGCAAGCAACATTGCAAAAATTTGATGATTTTTATGTCTCACACATGTCTATCAACTCAAAACCGTTGTAATCATTTGAGACTGATTTCAATTCCTCACATGACATTATCATCACATATATAGCACATTCAAAATCAGTGGCCTTACCACCAACCTCTCTCTCTCTCTCTCTCTCTCTCTCTCTCTTTCATTTTTTTCTTTTCCTCTTTCTTTAACTCACTCACTCACTTGCATCCTCACATTTAACATCACCATCACTATGTATCACAATCGGCATCATCATCATTATTCATCGCGATCCTTTCCATTTCGGCCATCGTGAGACAAAAGGAAAAAATTTTTATTCTAATTTTTCATATAATTTTACAGTTTTTTGTTTCGTTTGTCTTTTAATTATCTAGTTTACTTTATAATTTTACATGTATTTGTAACTTTTCTACATCATTTTAGACAGATAAAATTCTTTACTGTCTATCTTTTTTCTTTCTTTTTCTCCTACTAAAGAATTTCTCTTTCTCTCTCTCTATCACTCTCTCTCTCTCTCTCTCTCTCTTTCATTTCATTTCATCCTTAAAAAGCAATCAGGCAAAGCACTTTGAAGAAAATCTCTCGCCCAAGCCACCGCGAATCAGCAGCGAGCGGCCTCTAAAACGTCCTCAAACGTGAGAAGCAAACACCACAGACGCAAGTGCGAGCGATTTTTAAAATTTTTTTTTTTTCTGAAAGATCAAATCATCAGGCATTCAATTTTTTAGGAATTTCACATCATTTGGGCTCCTTCCTAGATATTTTTTTCTCTCTCTCTTTCT